GAACAGTGGATGGTCCCAGGTCTGAGGAAGTGTGAGTCTCTGTATTTCATTCAGTTCATGGGAACATTAACATTATGTCACTTTATCAGACTTTAAATCTTCACAGTCACAGAGGAAACATTCATGTGATTTGAGCTAAAAAAAAAAATATGTATAGAGAGTTGAAACATGATTTTGATCAGGATTATTACATCCTAAAATATAAATGAAATAGAACAACTTTTCAGATTCACAGGAACAGGAAGTGACGTCATGTGTTTGTGTCCTCAGATTCCTGTGAGTTTTCTCTGGATCCAAACACAGCTCACAGAAACATCAAACTGTCTGAGGACAAACGGACAGTGACCTTTGTGACAGAGGAGCAGCAGTATCCAGATCATGAGGACAGATTTACAGACAGGTGTCAGGTCCTGAGCTGCACTGGCCTGAGGGGGCGCTGTTACTGGGAGGTGGACTGGAGGGGGATGGCTGAAATAGCAGTGAGTTACAGAGGAATCAGACGGAGAGGAACAAGAGAGGAGTGTTTGTTTGGAGGCAATGATCAGTCCTGGAGTTTGAGTATTTATAATGGACGTTACTATTTCGGCCACAACAACAGACACACGGCACGCCTCTTCTCCTCCTCCTCCTCGTCTCGTCCCTCAGGTCGAGTGTCTGTGTTCCTGGACTCTGAGGCTGGATCTCTGTCCTTCTATGAGGTTCTCTCTGATGGAAAACTGTTCCACCTCCACACCTCCAGCTCCTCCTTCACTGAGCCTCTGTTTCCAGGGTTTAGGGTGGGTAGGGGAAATTCCTCTGTGTCTGTGGTAAATCTGAGGAGAGCGCCCTCTGGTGGACCTCTTTGACTGATATAAAATATTTTATTATTATTATTATTTTTTTTCCTTTAATTTCTCTTTGCAAAGCAGAAACTTTCTTCCACTGTCTAGTGTCTGACCCTGTGGTCCATATGAACAGAGTAGGCAGCATTTGTCCAAGTGTAGAACTGTTTGCGCTCATGTCTTTATTATTATTTTTTTTAATATTCAGTTTTATGTGTTGCTGTATGTAGTTGTATGTGATCTGTCATTCATTACTAATTATCAATTTGTGTTTATTTATCAAAACTCATATTTTAATGTGACGGTTCATTTAGAAAAAGGTTTACTAGAGTCCTCCTGCTTCAGCTTTATTATGTCAGTGCCATATAGTAGTTTTAATATTTTCTGAAGCATCTAAATAGTTTTTGTGACTGGCCAATGTGTCTTTGCTCAGAGAAGATTCAGGTTAGAAGCACATTCAGAGTGTGCTACAGGAAATACAATGGCTGAGGTATCTAAGGAAGATGAAAAACTATTTTAAAGGATCTTAAACCTATACTGTAGAGGAATAAGAATCACCCAGAATCAAGAGCATTTACAGCATATACAGAACTGCCTCAGGTCAACCATATTTAAACAAATACAACTCATCAGAGACAGAGCCCCATTCTTTTAGCCTCACACCAGGACTGTTCAAAGCTGAGTGGGATTAAAGGACACGGTCAACAACAGGAGTCAAATAAAGGTATGATTCATTGTGTACTCCTGTCAAACCACACATAAAATACACATCTATTTGGGAACTACTTTTTGCACTTTTACTGATATGTAAAATAAGTTCTCTGAATAAGCAATAAAAAGGGGTTATATTATATTGTCCTAGAAATGGTTGTAGTGTATTACTCTTCTTGTGCATTGCTGTTGAACTGCTGTGAAATTTCCCCATTATGGGACAAATAAAAGGTTCTGCTATCATTGGGAGCACATATGTCAAATCCAGTGGATCTCAACAGGGTCAAATATACAGTACGGCGTGAATTTTGTTGGAAAAACCTAATGAGATTTTTCATTACACCAGTACAAAAGAGATACCAAGGAACAGGTGATGCCTGCTGGAGATGTGGGAATGACGGGGCTAATCATTGCCATATTTTTTGGGAATGTGGGGTCATCTAAGAATAAAGCTCAGAGATTCATCAACATCTGCAAAATGTTTTTTCATTTGTTTTCACCCTGTCATCTGAAGCTTTGTATCTTGGTAAATTAATATTAGACAGTTTTAACAACACAAACAAGAGATTTACTGTATATTCTGTGGGCTGCAAGTAAAAAGGCAATAACAAGGAAGTGGCTTAAACCTTAGCGACCAACAATTGAAAACTGGATTGACATTGTGCAAGAGATCTACATGATGGAAAAGGTTTCATTTTTATTGAAAGTGCAGCTGGACTTATTTTACAAGATGTGGTCTAAATGGACAGACTTCATATAAAACTACTTCATAGTTGCAATATTATGTTAAATTGTGAAACAGGTTCCCTGGCTCCCCAACCTGTTTCGAATTTGTATACGTTTTAAAAATGTAAAAGCAGGAAGGTGTCATTTCATTTTACACATTGCAAAGTGTAATTTGCTTTTTCAATAAAAAGTAAATTTGAGGGGAAAAAAAGTTCTGTTATCTTAACCTTTGCTTTTACTGATGCTCATCTATGTTCCTCTTAATGGAAAACAATGACAACACAGACAGGACTTGGACACAGTGGTTCTGATGATGAAACTCAAAAACTCAACAGAAATATAAAGCAACTCATTATCAAATACAGGTAAATAGAAAGGAGAAGTTGAGTCTCTGAAATCATTTAAAATTAATCTTACAGATTCCTTTCAAATTTGTATTTCTAATTATATTATAATAAAAGTAGTTTGGATCAGTGGTAGGACAAAGTTGAAGTACTTCTGTGTAAATAACAGAACATACTCTGAGCTTTGGATTGTACAGATGTTCTCCTGTGACGTCTCTGCACACACAGGGCTAGAGATTCAGTTTATAAATAGGTGATTTTTCTAAACACTGCAGAATGTGTTTTTAAAAGTCCTTTATTTATTTCATTGTTAATCTTTTTGGTCACATTGAGTGTTATAAAAGGCTTTAGAAATAAATATGATTGATTGATACTGAACCCACATCGTGTCACACACGAGTCATAATTCCACTCAAAACTGTGCAGTGTTTCCCACAGATTCTGGGGAGACTGTGGTGGACAAACATTTTAATAATTTAATTCAATTTAATACAATTTGTGGTGTATAAATGATGTTTATTGTCTATATTTAATCTTAAAACAGTCCTTTTAGCCCAGTATATTTACTTTTAAATGTTTATGATGAGACAATGGGCAACAAAGTGTGATTTTGTGATGCTGATGTAAAGTCCAGGTTGTTTTTAGACTGTGGGGGAGAATTTTAGACTCTGTGGGGCCACCATAGTCTCCTCTAATGATAAACCCTGATGTTTACTCTCCTTTAGTCCATTTCTATATGTTTTATCATTTTATTCTTTATTTACGTCCAAAATTGTGCTTATAATAAAATGTGTCCTTCCTTTGAACAGCCTCCGCTCAGATGCATTGACCTTTGACCTGTGCCCTCCAGGGCTGGTGTGGTGACTGGGGCACTGGAGCGATGTCTGAAAGGAGGAGCATGGAGGGAGCTACAGCCCAGAGCTTCAGGCCTGGCGAGCTCTGTCTGTGGAAACCTGGCGGTGATAACGAGCGGTCAGAGTTTGTCGGGCGGTGAGTACGATTCATAACACACTTCAGATCCAAACGCTGCGCTGGATTCTGACAGGAACGTTTCATTGGTCCAGGGACACTGCACCAGACTGGATCCCTGTACATGGGCTTGGCTTCTGTCAGTGTCCAGGGTTAAAGGTGCACTATGGAACTGTTCTGGTGGAGGGTCTGTCACCTGCTTGACTCATGGAGGAGTTATGGACTTCAAGGGTCAAGATTTTATTGTTATTGTCGTAGAAAACAATGGAATTAGGTTTAGAGGATCAAACTCTGCATAGTTTTACTAAAGGTGCAAGAGCCTCATCCAACAGCCCCATAAATAACCCTGTGTAAACATGAGCACAATAATGACATTCAGAGCAGCACATACACAATAAACAGTCACAGGTTTAGCAGGATTGCTAAACCACAGAATTGATTTAACATAATACATCTTGCATTCTTACTGTGACCGAGTCGCCTCTACATAGATCTGATCTTGAATTTTGCTTACTGGCATCATGAAAGGTCAGTTTAATAATGACTTTTATATCTAATTGTACTCACGTAATCATAAATGGTATTAAATGAAAATATTATGGAAGTACTCTGCATTTTTTGGATGTGAAGTCTGATTTATCTTGCATCTTTAATAAAAATATAATTTTTATATGCAATTACAATAAAGACACAAGGAGGTGAGGAAACAGCCTGTCCCCTGTGTGAAAAAGCTGAGAGGCATCCAGATTGGTTAAATGTGCCCAGGAAGCTCCTTTCCTTCTCATTTACAGGGATGATGATGACCATCCAAACTGATCAGTTTACCAGCAGTAATTTCACTCATGTATGGTCACTTTATTTTATGTAGACTACTGCTGTGATGAAAACATTGACTGTAAAGACTGAAATTTTAAATAATTTTCATAAGAGAGAGTAAGTGGAGGCTTGTGGTAGTTTTCTAGGAATTGTAGTTTTTACTGAACAGCTGTTGTTAGGATGATCTGGATCCACCAAAAGCAGCAATATCTCCTTCTCTTCACTGTTTCCTCTTCCTTGGCCCTTACTGTTGACCTTATGATGTAGCTCTTAAAGATCAAGGCAAAGGAGAAGGACAAGGAAGGAAGGATTTTCGCTCCATTTTAGATTGGATTCAACTCCCAGGGCATCATCAAGATCAGGGACTTAATACAGAAGAAACATCAAGTCCTGGAAGCTCTGCTGTGTCTGTTCTCCAGGAGATGTTTTACACTACACAGTAACCAAAGACTTGCAATCATGTTTTTTTTTTTTTTTTTTTATTTAAATGTATTGCTGTTCCCAATGCTAAAGTGATTAAAAACATACCTTATTTTTTAATGTGATTTTGTGTGTGTATTTTAGTGTTCTTAGTGGATTCTGTGAGACCTAAAGGGTAGTCAGATTCTGAAAAAACAAACAAATAAACAAACAAAGAAACCTGAACTGTTGGTAGGTGTTTGATTCTCATATGTCCTTCCATGCACACTGTTGTTATTTTATACATGCAGGAAAAGGTTAAGGCATTTGGCTTCTGGTATGTCCACACAAACTGTTTTCAAATGGACCTTAAAGACATTACCAAACAGATTACAAGGGTAATAACAAAGAAGGCTCGATTTCCTCTCTGTTTCCTTTGTGTGTTTGGAACAGCCAGGAGCAGCTCATTAAACTGCAAGTAACTGAGCAACCGCCATGCTTTGATATCGTTCAAACACAACTGATGATCATTGATTATTATTGGCAGTGTTGTTGATCTCATGTTTATTATTTTGGGTTATTTTTCACTCAGGTCATTTATTTATGCAATTATTGTTTATTTGAATATAGAGACAGACACAACAAACCCCTATAAGCAACTAAGTAAACTAAAGCAAGTATCTCCGTGTTAATAGTCTAATCGTAGGCACGCTGGAGATTCGTTTTTTTTTTCTCCAAATGACCAAACACTGTAATTTATAACTGTTCCAGAATATTCTAGTATTTTATTATTTTTGTATCTGTATAGTTTATCAAAAGCAAGTATTTATGTCTTGCTTTAAGGTGAGAATGAGTGAGTTCTCCACAGTTTTTCTTGGTTCAAATATCTCCTTTATTTCTTAGAATACATCAGAATATTTATAAATAAGACAGTATTAGGGGGAATTAGTAATTTTTCATGCTTTAATATTATATGCTTATTTATTACATATAATTTTTAAGATATGTCAAATTAACCATAAAATCCTGTTGGTTGACTCATGGCTGTGTCCAACATGTGAAGCCAGGGATATAGAGCACACCGTACTTCAAATTTGGGGTTCCTTATTTCTTTGTCTCTTCACTAGTTCAGAAACAGAACCAATGGGCATTATTACAGTGTTATCACTAAAATAACAGGTACACAAAACATCCACACAGAACGGCAGTGGCACCTCTGAAAGAGGATAAAAATAAACACATTTCAATATTATTTCTTAGAACACATAAACAATAAACAATATCTCATTGTATAGCCATTTCCTCACAGATATGGTCGAGTATGAACTTTTGGGGGCTAAACAGATCTTTCTCCAGCAAAACATAGAACCCTTCTGATGCTTTCTCTACCGAAAGTGCGCGAGACTGTCCCCTTTCAACGTTCGTGCAAAACCATACAGCACCCTTGCGGGGAAAACAGGTGTCACAATGAACAAACAAAAAATGAACAGGATTTACATTACAATCTACAGTTTTTCACAGGTACCCCAGTTTTTATCTGGTTACACATGAAATCACAATAGTTACACTTGTGTTACCATGGTGCCCCCTGTTCCTCCGAGGATCCCTTTCCCTCACAAGTTTATGTCATAAAGCAGAGGTGTCCAAAAGTTTTTCACAATGGGCAAGAAACAAGTGGTTGATGCAATAAGTTATTCAGATGGGTGCATTTAACACAGCTGACCACTGTACCTTTTAATATGGCCTGGAACTAAATTAATATTAAGTCTGACAACCCTCTCATAAACAGTTCAAAGAGTTGTTCACAAATGTCCACCAGAGATTTATGTCCTCAGATCCACCACAGACAAATAGGAACCTTCACACCACAGTGTAAACCCAGGGAACAGTGGCTGAGTGAACGAGGAGTTGAAGGTGTAGAGGTGAAACAGTTCATCACCAGAGCGAACTTCATAGAAGGACAAAGATCCAGCCTCAGAGTCCAAGAACACACCCACTGTGCCTGAGGACTTGTCCACTTGTGCCTGAGGACTTGTCCACTGTGCCTGAGGACACACCCGGTGTGCCTAAGAGGTGGAGGTTTGAGGAGACTCGTGTTTGTTCATTGTTGTGTCGGACAAAGTAACGTCCACTCAAGACCCTCAGACTCCAGGACTGATCATTGCCTCCAAACTCACAATCCTCTGTCTCTCCTCTCCGTCTGATTCCTCTGTAACTCACTGCTGTTTCAACCATCCCCCTCCACTGCACCTCCCAGTAACAGCGCCTCCTCAGGCCAGTGGAGCTCAGGACCTGACACCTGTCTGTGAATCTATCCTCATGATCTGGATACTGCTGCTCCTCTGTCACAAAGGTCACTGTCCGTTTGTCCTCAGACAGTTTGATGTTTCTGTGAGCTGTGTTTGGATCCAGAGAAAACTCACAGGAATCTGAGGACACAAACACATGACATCACTTCCTGTTCCTGAGAATATGAAAAGTTGTTCTATTTAATTTATAGTTTAAGCTGTAATAATAAGTATCTATATATAGTTTTGTATCTCTAATCACATTAATGTTTCCTCTGTAACTGTGAAGATTTAAAGTCTGATAAAGTGACATAATGTTAATGTTCCCATGAACTGAATGAAATACAGAGACTCACACTTCCTCAGACCTGGGACCATCCACTGTTCTCCAGCAGGATCCAACCTGAAACACACAAGTCCAGTTTA